TATACCGAAGTATAGTGGGTGCTCTTCAGTACCTAACGTTTACAAGACCAGATCTCGCCTATTCTGTTAACACTGTCTGCCAATTTATGAACAATCCCACAGAGGTTCATTTTCAGTTGGTTAAAAGGATTTTGCGCTACATTCAAGGCACTTTGCAGTATGGTCTTACTTACTCTTCGTCTGTTCCAGTTTCTGTGTCTGCATATAGTGATGCAGATTGGGCTGGGGATATTACCACTTGACGATCAACCACAGGATTTGTTGTCTTCTTGGGTTCCAATCCAATTTCATGGCAGTCTAAGAAGCAGGGGTCTGTCTCCCGTAGCTCCACTGAAGCTGAATACCGTGCTCTTGCTAATGCTTCAGCAGAGGTCGCTTGGATTCGTCAGATACTTGCAGATCTTCATGTCTTTCTCCCAGATCCTCCTCTGTTGTTTTGTGATAACATGTCTGCGTTAGCTCTCAGCTCTAATCCCGTGTTCCATTCTCGCATCAAACATTTGGATGTCGACTTCCATTTTGTTCGAGAACGTGTACAACGCAAAGACTTCTTAGTGCACTACATTCCTACTGATGAACAGGTGGCAGATGTTCTTACTAAGGGGCTTCATAGTCCAGTATTTGTTAAGCATTGTACCAATCTCAGTTTAGGCACCCTGACTGAGATTGAGAGGGGGTGTTTACCTAATGGTTAGAGTTGGTTAGAGCTGTTAACATTGTTAGGAGGTTGGTTAGCTTAGCTGTCAACGGTTAGCAGGTTGGTTAGCTTAGCTGTCAGCTGTTAGCATGGTTATGTATATACATATATACTGTACTGTAACAAAATCATGTTTTTAGTAAGAAATATATCATTCAGTTTTCTCATCTGCTCTCAGAAACTTCTAAACAAACATCTTCTTCTCTATCTCTTTTACCATAGTTATCAGTTTCAGAAGGAAACAATAATTTTATTTCTGGGGAACTAGTACTTCAGGCTGCACATGCTGATTTAGTTGAACTAGAAAGTTCAAAAGTTGAGCAGAGTCAAGAAGAAAATGTTGGTGCTGATCACATAGACAGCGAGCCAGAAAGTAATGTAAGCATGAGGGAGGAGATAGTATTGATTTCAATGGCAGAAAAGGTTAACACTGTAGTTTCTGGAATCCAGGAGCTTGAAAGTGAAATGAGTACTGGTGCTGAAGTAGAGTCTTTCAAGGATCACAGTCCTATAAGTCCAAAAGTGGATGCTTCATGTGAGAATGTTCAAACTTCAGAAGAAGTGGATCTTGCAGTTGATGAGACTGAATTTAAGGTTTCCATGGTGACTATGCTGGGTATTGCTTTGTTGGTTTCGGCATTAATTGGATCCACAGCCTTCATTTATGGAAAGAAAAGGAAGAGCACAGCCTCAAATCCTGCTATCTCTGTGGTTCAACCATCGCTGACTAGGAATCTGGATGCAAGTCCTACTGTGCCATTTAGCACTGAGCACACTTTCCAGGAAATACCCTCTTCTTGGAACTGGATCGGAGAGCCATGTCCTTCTGAAATGAGCAACATCCAAAAGAGCTCATCGTATCGCACAAAAGGACTGAAGGCATTCGATAAAGCTGAAAGCCAGGAGATGCCCAGGAAGAACCATAGGAGAGAGTCCCTGACTTCAATTGATTCCTCCATGGGTTCACCATCTTATGGCAGTTTTACAACATATGAGAAAATTCCAATCAAGCATGTGAGTATAATATACTGCTCATTCCTACTTAACACATTCACCATCTTATTGTTTCTCATAATTTGTGCTTTGTTTCTGCAGGGAGAAGAAGAAATTGTTACTCCTGTTAGGCGCTCGAACAGAATCAGAAAACAAGTCACCTCTCCATGATGACTGAACAAGATGTTTCTTCCATTGCGCCATTATGCAATGTAGTTATGAAGGAACCATTAGTTTAGTTTGACTAGTCGTTTGATGATTTGTTATTTTAGGGTGTTTATTGTCTGCTAACGAACCATGTTCAGTAGTTGAATGACTTTGTAATCTTCTATCATTTTCTAATGGTTCTATTAATGATAGCTTTGTTTCTGCTAAGTGTGCCCCCTTCTTACTTCTCATATTGACATGACTTTTCATTTTGCAGATTATTTGTTGATGCTTAATAGCCAATTTTTAAATATGATAAGTTATATCTAGCTAGTCTCTATCCCAAACTTGGAGTAAACCAACTCATTCGAGACCCCATTGACTTAATTTTCTCTTTGGGTTGGTATGGCTTTGTTGTACTATCCTTTGGATACTTTCTTTATCAGTAGTGTCAACTTACAAAACAATATGTATCAATTGTATATAAAGTGGGATTGGGATTGGGAAGAGATGGAGACTTGTTTAGAATTTTGGCCTTTTTCTGATTTTCACTAGGTAAGCTAGGTGCTGTGACTGTCTGTCTGTCTATTGCCTCCGTGTAGTGTATATTAGGACCGGACCAGATCATTTTCTGTATTTCAATTCAAACATGGGGGTGGGTTGAGGTGTGCGTTCTTCTATAAAGATTTCAACTTGGGATCCCTAATTCCCTACCCTCATATATATTGTGCTCTGGAGATTATAGGAAGCAGGTATAAGAGCAAGAGGAGGAAGAAAACAGGAATGAAGATAAAGAAAATGAGGGAAGAGGAGCTGGGGAGGATGAAATATGAGATAGATTCAAACACTTGGCTTCATTTATTTATTTATGAACAATTCAAATCTCTCTCCATCCATCACTTAAGACTTATGAGACAAAGAAACTCACAGTAGTCAAAATTTTGAATTGCATTGCATCCACACACAACTTAAGGAACAAAGTACCCTGAACGAGTAGAATTCCACTGAGAGTTTTGCGGTTGTAATGTATTTTATTTTGTGGCATCAATTGTAGTTTCTGAATGCAGCTATGAAGGAGCCCTTTGACCAATTATTGATTTAGAGTTAGAGCAGAAGAAGAACTTGAAACTCTAATAAAATACATAAAACGGGAAAATTTGAGTTACAATTTACAAAATGGCATAATGAAATCACTCCTTGGGATCAAATAACAGAAAATAAATCAAAATGACTACAAACTGGAACTTGTGCAATGAAAGTTGTTTTATTTTCTAAGAGACAAGGGTGTTCAAAGATACTCGTCTATCTTATAAGTTATATCTAGCTAGTCTCTATCCCAAACTTGGAGTAAACCAACTCATTCGAGACCCCATTGACTTTTGGATGCTTGGAAAGGATCTCTCAACTCTTTCATTATCGAGGCAGAAGATGCCGATCTCACGAGATGTAAATGGTTTGCGAACATTAAAGGGGTCCAATCCAATTGTTGCAAAGTAAATGTTGTTCCTTTCTAACTCTATTAAATGGCTCGCCCGAAGAGAGAAGAAACCATGCAAGCTCAAAAATAAGGTTTGATCCCCCAAACTTTGTTCCTGAAGAAAGTCACCAGTCTCAGGATCAATCTTGTAAACTTTAAAACCAGATGTCCTGAAATATTCATGATCATCGTCAGTGTTGCCCTCCTCGAGCTGGTCATCATTTTCTTCTTGCATGTTGTGTTCTTCTTCTTCATCATCATCTTGATGATGATTCCCTCCTTCGAGTTCCAGTTCCAGTTCTTGATCATCCTCATCATCCACGCTTCTGCGAATTTTAAAAACATCTCCTATTTGATGGATCACCAAGACTTCATTGTTGGTTGATTCAAACAAGAATGAGTTGTATTCCCCATTTAAACTGATTTTGTAGTCATTATGATACTCAACGTCAATTCCAATCTGCTCCTCGTTATCATAGACTAAGATCAATTCCACTTCTGCATCTCCAAAGTTTATGGTGCGAGGTTGGATGAGCTCACTCTGTCTTTTCTCCATTTCTGCATTTTACAACAAAGTTACTAGATTCTAGCTCTGCACATTTGTTGCAATACTGAATTGACAATGAGGACAGTGCTAGCTGGTTGTGAATTGTAACCACTATTCTGGTTGCTGCCCTTGACTGGCAGGAGCCAATAATTTGCTCACAGCAGAATGGAGATTGAAAAATTATAACTACATCTTCTTGAAAAATTAGCGTTTTGGATTTAGGTTTTAGTATTCAAGGTTTACATGGAAAAAATAAGTGAATAGAAGTCTAGAAGAACCATGTAGTTTTGGACATAACTACAATATGAACACCCAAAACATACGTACAAGATATGTACACCACCCAAATCAAATTCTTCTGAAGTATGTATTAGTTTTATTTATGGTAATGAATGTTGAAAGGTCCAACTCATATATAGTAATGTCTTTTACGTTGACTTACAATCATCATGGATATCGTGGATTAAGTTATTATAATCGTTCTATATCTTATGCATTCTACTACATAACATAGTACACAGTCGTCGGACACGAATCAATTGTTTACATTTGTTATACGTGAAATAGCAACAAGTACTGAATACCCTTTTTCTTGTGAGGGTTATCTTATATGTGGTAGATTCGACCCCAAACAACTCCTGCAGAGTCCAAATGTCTCCCAATGAGCAATTGAAGATTAGGGATCCCAAGTTTAAACCTCTATATAAGAACAACCCAATTAACCTCCAAAAAGAAAATAATAAAAAGGAACTGGAAATTGGTAATCAAGCATCAATAACTAGGCAACCGGAATAATTTGTACAAGAAAAAAAAAACAAAGGACAAAACAAAGTTGAGTTTAAATTTGTGTTTCTTATAGGGCGAGTAAAGCATAATGCAAGAGCAACATTTCCAACATATACCAAAGAACCCACTTCCTCTCTTAGCAGTAAAGCTATTATAAACTGCAACATGTGTCTCTTTGTGTCTCTAGTCTCTATCCCAAACTTGGAGTAAACCAACTCATTCGAGACCCCATTGACTCTTGAACGCTTGGAAAGGATCTCTCAACTCTTTCATTATCGAGGCAGAAGATGCCAATCTCACGAGTTGTAAATGGTTTGTGAACATTAAAGGGGTCGATTCCATTTGTTGCAAAGTAAATGTTGTTTTTGTCTAACTCTATGAAATCGCTCGCCCGAAGAGAGAAGGAACCATGAAAGCTCAAAAATAATGTTTGATCCCCCAAACTTTGTTCCCTAAGAAAGTCACCAGTCTCAGGATGAATCTTGTAAACTTTAAAACCAGCTGTCCTGAAATATTGATAATCATTGTAGTCAGTGCCACCCTCCTCGAGTTCATCATCATTTTCTTCTTGCATGTTGTGTTCTTCATCATCATCATCTTGATGATTTCCTCCTTCCAGTTCCAGTTCCAGTTCTTGATCATCCTCATCATCCACGCTTCTGCGAATTTCAAAAACATCTCTCATTTGATGGATCACCAAGACTTCATTGTTGGTTGATTCAAACAAGAATGATTCGTATTCCCCATTTAAACTGATTTTGTAGTCATTATGATACTCAATGTCACTTGCAATCCACTCCTCGTTATCATAGACTAAGATCAATTCCACTTCCACATCTCCAAATTTTATAGTGTGAGGTCGGATGAGCTCACTCTTAATATAACTAATAGCCAAGGAGTATAACTTACCAGTACTAGAAAACAATAATTTGCAATGATGTTCATTTTCATCTAATACCTGGAAGCCACTCCATGTTTTTGTCTCCAGGTCTACACATAACCAACACCTTTAAATTATCAAATATCGCTGCCACCATACATTCTGAATTATTAATATCTGAGGTGGATAGCACAATGTGATGAAAGAAAAAGCTGGTACCACACAAATCCCATTCTGTTTCTACAAACTTTTTGAAAGATGGAATTGTCGCCAATGTTGGAAGTTGGCATAAGGCTCCTGAAACCGGGTTAAACAGAAACATTTTAGAATTCAGTCTTTTTTCTTGGATCATAATTAACCAACCTCTTGAAGAGCCATAAAACCGACTTCCATGAATTGGCTTAGGCAGCCTCAACTTGTGAACTTTGCCGTCGGCAAGGTTGGTAAAGGACAAGTACTTGCAATTTGGATCCTGAGGAAGAACTAACCAGGGTGCTTCTTGAGCACCCCGGATGTGTCCTCGCATACAAACTGAATTCCAAGACTTGCAGGCAAAACCTGTGCGAATTCGATCCCTTAAACTCAAGTGCCGTACAATCATCTCCATGATATCTTCGTGTACTCTCTGCCACCCGCTGCTGCTGCTGTACTCAAAACAACTACTGGTTTGGTTTTCATATTGCTTTCTCTTCTTATCTGATTTTTCTCTGAGTTGAAGTAATAGTTTCTTGAGCGTGAAGCAAGGGAACCAGCTGCTTAAAGAGAGGTAGTCACCCAGATTTTGATAGGCCAAAAATAGAGCCTCACTCATCTCTCTCTGTTTGATTAACAATATTTGAAAAATCAAGATTTGCAAAAGAGCGACTGTAGGATGCCGATGCTAGAGCTTTTGTGCTGTATGTACAATAAATAGGGTGCATGTGGAATAATATATAGGAGTGAGCTAACCTAATTCATCAGGGAATCTGTGTATCTTAGGGATGGGCATTGGGTCCAATCCAAATCCAAATTTATTTTGAAGAATTTGCCATCCAATCCAGCTTAGTATAAGAATCCAATTCCATACAAATCCAACTCAAATTAGGGTGATTTGGTCGGTATGATTGGTTTGAATTGGATTCTGCACACCTCTAGTCTATCTCCTAGTAGGATTGGAAATTCATTGGATTTATTATTTGATTGTAGGGTTTAAGGAAGAAAGAAGGCCTTGTAGAAGATAAATTGGGTCGCGTTTTTTTTCTCTTCAGAATTCCTTGAACAACAAGAAAAAAATTAGGATTGCTCCTTTTACATGGGGAAGTGGACTACTGGAAGGTATTCTCTTGCAGTCGATGTCCTAGACTCGATTCTCAACTCATATCCCCCACTTTCCCTCACCCCTTAGACCAACCATAAGAAGTTTTTATCTTAACATATAACATTATATTGACTTTCAACCAAAAGTGTGTATCACAAAATTCAAACATAATCCTTTATAATTGAGAGTTCAATAACAAAACTTAAGACTAGAAAAGTAACCGTGAGTTTGTGATACAAGGACCTAGATTAAAAGTTTTTTTTAATATCTAATAAAAAATTATAAGTGGGGATTAACAGTAGCTAGCTAGGCTTCTGTGGAAGGGATTCTTCTCTTTCTTGTGTGATCGAAAGGATAAGGTGAAAATGGCAGCAAAGCCAGCCATTAGTTGCTCTGGAGAAAAACAATGCTTCTTTTTGCACAACACAGCCATTGGACGCTGCAAAGACAAATTTTACCTAAAAAATTGTTTCACCTTAGTATACCAAACCCTTACCAAACTTTTATACCATAATTTCAAATCCTCGAACACTTAAGAAAATAAATACAAGGGTTATATGCCGTTTTGGCCCATGAACAAAATGACATATAACCCTTGTATTCATTTTGAGTGGCCATGGCCAAAATAGAAATGAGGCCCTTAATGGTCTGATTCTACAGTTGGTCATATTCTTGTTCCTTCAAAACTTTCTTCAACAACCGACTCGACATTGCCACAAAATCCCAACCCGATGTTCTCAAGTTCTCAACCTTCATAATCATCTTTTTTTGAGAAAAATTACCGTTATTTAATAGATTGAAGTTATTTTTTTAAATTACGAATTTGCCCTTAATATTGAAGGAAATTTGGGTGCACATCCAAAATTTGACAACAAGTCCGAAATTGACCTATTTCATATAGTTTAAGTTCTTGATTTAACAAAAAAGAAAGTCTAAGGGGTAAATTGACAATCATGATATAGCTCATGGGAAAAACAACATATCAGATAACCCTAAGTACAATATATAATGTGTGCTTCTATTACTAATTAATATCATTAATGCCTTTTGTGACAAAACCTCACACATATTAGGGTACGTAGATGGTTAAGTTGAGAGACAATATTGGTGTTGCTAGTAGGGGGTTGATGGTCCATCTCTCTAAAATTTAATATGGTGGTATCATAGCGAGTTGATTGACTGGGTCTTTACCCTTACCCTTTATCCAATACGTGGTGTTCACATGTTGAGCTTGAATGTTTCACATTACCTCTTACCCAATACGTGGTGTTCATGTGTTGGGCTGTAATGATACGTGGTATTCAGGTCTTAGGCTGCAATTAGAGGTGTCAAATGGGCCGGCCTAACCCGTTTAGAGTCGGTCCATTTAATAAACGAGTCATGCATGGTTCGTCCATTTACGAAAATCATCAATCCCGACTCGAGCTCAATGCCCAAGCCTATATGAGCTCGGGCTATGCTTGTGCTAGGCCACGAAACGGGCAGATGCCAAATTTGACTTACGTATTGCATTTTTTTTGTAATTTTTTTTTATAACTTCATTTATATCTTTTTTACAATTATATATATATATATATACTAATAAGCTTTATTATTTGTTAACAAAAAAAAAGGTCAATAACTTTATTTAAAGTACATTTAAATAGAAAATTGCTAGATTATTGTTTGTGTTTTAAAAATTGAAACTTGAAAAACAAAATTATTATTTTATATATAAAGAAAACATTAATTTTTTATATATATTATTAGAGAAAAGAAATAGACTTGAATTTAAGATATATATGTAATAATATTATGTATTATTTTTCTCTAAAACAAGTATAACCTTTTTTTTTTTTTTGTCTCAAAAGTCAAAATGCAATAATTTGACATCTAATGCCATTGTTTATATGTTTTTTTTAAAAAAATCATAATCATATTTTTGATGTCTTTCATTTTGGGGAAATTACTTGAGTTCTTAATTAATTAAACATATAAACTATCAACTATAAATTAATTAAACAACTTTGGACTTGAAAAAGACAGAGTCAAAATTAGATTATAAGGTTGATATCTAATCAGTACATATGACATATATGCTTCTCTTATAATTAAAGCAAGACTTTTCTTCACATATAAAATAATAAGTTGTTCAAAGTTGAAAAGTTGAAGTGGATTTTGTGTAGTTGGAAACTCTTAGCCAACCCTCTTTTTACATTAGAAGCGTACACGTGCGCCATTTCAAAGAGTCTATTTTAGGTTTTAGTGGCGTTACTATTTCTGATAAATTTGTTTATTGAATTTAGCAAAATTCAAACAGATTATAAAATATCTTAGCCTGGAAAACTCTTGGGCCTGAGTATGGCCCGAGCCGTTTCAATGTGGACTTGGGCTTTGGATCAGGCTGGGATCAATGGTTTTACTAAATGGGCTAGCACGGCACGGCCCAATAAATTAAATAAGCCGGCTCGGCTAGGCATGATACGTTAAAGGCACAAGTTTAAATGCTAGCCCAACTCGTTTGACACCTCTAGTTGTGCCCTACTTAAACTGGTCGTACTCATGCCGTTCTATGGCCAGTTCGATCCGTTTGATACCTCTAGGTGCAACGATTGACTCTGATGTGGGATTTGTTGCAAGTGTGACCTATTATGTGGTGATTCCACGGGGAATAAAGTCCCACATCGAAAACTTAACAAAATAAATACAATAAATAATGAGTGGTTCCACTATTAATATCACCGATGCCTTTTATGACAAAATCTCACACCTATTAGTCTATGTATGTGATTAAGTTTGGGATAATATCGGTGTTGGTAGAAATAAACCGGTGATCCATCTCTCTGAAAATTAACAACTAGTGACTCACATAGCCAACACAAACTTTCTTCTTCTTCTTTTTTTTTTTAAAAAAAAGAAAAAAAGAAGGGGAAATTAAATGAAACTTAGAAAATCTATCGCATTAAGGCCTCACATTGGCCATTTTAAGAAGTTTGTAACCCAAATTGGCTTTTAAGAAAAATTAGGCCCCAATTTGAGACTCGATAAAAGTTAAAGGTAAAGAGACAAAACGGTAGTTTACTCTCAAGATTATATTACATCATGTATTGAATTAGTTTTTGAATTTTAGCAAAAGATTATATCTTATTAATTGTAGATCACTTTTTCTGAAAAATCCATAATGTGTTTCTTCTCACAACAACATGCTTCATGCATTGATATGATAATTAATACCCCACATCCACCATGCATATTGTGATCAATAAAAAATCTAAAGAAAAAACTGCTCAATTTTTCATGTGGAATGATGAGTGGTTGGGGAGGAGCTATCCACATCCCGACCATATAAAGGGGATGCAGGCCATCCCACCCAGAAAAAGAAAAAGAAAAGAAGGAAAAACAGTGGAGGAGCCGGGAGCCAAACCATCATCAACTCCCACTCTACACCTGTCACACCCAGTTTTCCTGATTTCTCTGCACGCATGCTACTCAATACTAATTGTCTACCGAAAATGTACATGTCACGTGTTTTTTCTTTTTGCCTGTAATAAATGTAACGTGTTTTTTCTTAAAATGTCGCGGTCATAAATGTCTTTAACCAATTAATCTCTGTCATGAAAAAGACATATGTATTTGTAAGCAGAAGATACATATATATATATATATATAAAAATTTTAAATACTTGAAATTATTATTTTTTTGAATGCTTGAATATTATGTTGGTATCATTGTTTGCATTAGGGAAAAAACATGTAACAATGAAAAGCCTAACTTAATGTTAGAATTCCCGAAAGGGAAAATCATGTACCGATCTTGGAAGAAGATACTAGGAACTTAACGCCACGTTTTGGATTCTTGATCACCATTTCGGATACCACACAATATGATGCATCTGAAATGAAGTTGAAGTTGTATGTTCAATTTATCTCTCCCAATATCACTTGTACTATAATAAAACCCTAATCTTTTTGGCAACTCTTTTTAAAAACTTTTCGACCTAAAAGAAACTCTTTTTTTTTCTTTTTTTTTTTTTTAGAACAAGCGAGTAGGGGAGGTCTACCCACATAAATGGAGGTTGAAGAACTCAAACAACTGAGCTATACCCATTGACTTTTGTAATGCTATTTTAGATACTTTAAATTTATATGATCATTAAATTCCAAAACAAAAGTAGGCCCCATAAATTTTTGGGAGCCGGCCCTGGCCAGGGCAAGAGCTCAGGGCCCACCAGACCAAGGGGCACAAATTTTTTTAACAGTCCATATATATGAAAACGAAAATACTAGGAGATCATTTTTAGAGACCAACTTATACGATCTCTCTAGTAAAG